CGAATAGCTTAGCTAGAGTCTGCTAGAATAAGAATGAGAAGGGATCGACCCCCGAAAACTCTAGTGTTATCGGTGCAGCTGGTTCAATGCAAGTCAGGGGTGTCACTGGTGGTTGGCCGTCTACGAGCAAGTAAGATCATGGCTGTGAACAGAATTATTGTACTTCAGCAGGCATGAATACCAAGGTTCATAGACACTGACCAAAATTCAAAAATCTGCGCAAGGTCATGTTCGACGGCTCCAACATCCAGAAAGTGCCTGTTGAGGCATACTTCTTCTACAGTGGCTCAATTGCAGACTTGACTGTCACTAGATTAACAGCGACAATAAGAATGATAATATCAGAATCAGTCGCCGGTTAGTTTTAAGCAACTGTCAACAGACAGACAGAGTCACAGTCACAGACAGTCAGTCAGTGTAATAACTTGGCGCTCACATCATCCAAAACCGTAAGGCCTCGAAGCAGACCGCACTGATTAGTCCAGGGATGTCAATGACAGGTCAGGTTGCATGTTATACAGTTATCAGTTAGTTCTCAGTCGGTCTGCCTGTCTGTCTGCCTGTGCCAGTCAGTCTGGTCGATGAGTGCTGACGATTGAACAAACGACATCCTGCTATGTCCAGCTTTACCATGACTTCGCTGACACAACGACGGACATGTCTGATTCATGGTGGTAGTATAACACGGTCAGGACCCATTTCCAACCCGTTTGACGCCTGCCTGCAGCCAGTAGTGAGTCATGTCTTCGTAACTTAGTTGGTCCCTGTGCCATACGACACTGCGACAGGCCTTGGGCCCTGCCGGTCGGTGTGTTAGAATCCCGAACTGGAGTCAAGTCCTGTCTGGTCATTCGCAAGTAACTATCCATCTGCCGTTGTCACCAACTCAGTGCTTTAAGGTTTCAGAGACAATGTATTAATTAATAATAATTATGCCTACTGCCGCTTTAAGGTCATGTTCAACATCACTTCACAGCACAGTCGTCGACAGTCAGTCAGACTCAGTCACTGTCACAGCCACGACTTTGACTTTAACAGGTCAGCTGACTTAGCCATTAGCATTAGCATTGCATTGATAGCTTGTCTACCATCATCAGCAGTGCATGCTACGGCAAGTAACAACAACAAGATAGAATATGCTTATAAATACCGATGTCGTGTGAATAACACTTACCTTATATCCTTTCCTACAAATAAGACCATGTGGTAGTAGTAGTGGTAGTAGTAGTAGTAGTAGCAGCAGTGGTAGCAGTAGTGGTGGTACTAGTAGTAGTAGTAGTGTAGTAGTATTAAAGTAATGTAATGTAATGTAATAGTCGTAGTACTAGTAGTAGTGGTAGTGGTAGTGGCAGTGGTAGTAGTAGTAATAGTAGTAGTAGTCGTCGTAGTAGTAGGATTATTATTATTATTAGTAGTAGTAGTGGTGGTGGTGGTAATAGTGGTGCTCCTTCAAGCCTTCCTGCCAGCTGTTGGTGTTGTCGTGATGTTGTATTAGTTTTTAGCTGCCGCTGCTGCTGTCTTGGCTGTTGTTGAAGTGGCAGAAGCTGTTGATGCCGAGGCCGCTGCTGTTGGTGTTGTAGTAGTAGCTGTGGTTGATGATGATTGCTCTGCACTGGTGGTCGGGCTGGTTTGGGTGGTGGTGGTGGCGGTGGTACTGGCAGGGGTGGTGGGGCGGTGGTCCAGGGTGGTTGTGATGGTGGTGGTAGTGGCGGCTGCAGGGGTGGTGTTTTGGTATTTATTGTTGTTGTCACTTGTCACAGATGCAGTACTGGTTTATTTGCTGTGTGCTTTGACGGATATTTAATAGTCAGCATTAAAAATCAATTTGATTTTTAATACTGACTATTATCTATGTCGTCTTCTTGTCATTGCTATTGCCAACTGTTGTACTCGTTGTTGTCGCCACCCTCGTCGTCGCAGTTCAGTTCACGACTTCCGTCCAAGTTGCTGTAGATGCAGGATTTCCCTGTGCCACTTCCCCATAAGTTGATTCATGACCCTCGACATGAATAACAGACGACCCCTACAGCACAACGCTTAAAAACAGCTGCAGATCGTACTTAGGTCGGGGAGCTCGCGTGGGTGCGTTCGGGCCGCCCCTGGCAACTTGTATGCATTCTGTCAGTCACGAATCTGGACGTGGGTATGGGAGGATGACCATGCTACCCCACTTGCCCTCTTCCGCTGTGTCGGCGTCCACTTAGTGAGTCGAGTGTGACCTGTTACTGAACTGTGGCAGGCAGTGGCACAGTCTGTCGGTTAAAGCTCAGTTCGTGGGTGGCATGCTGCACCGTTGCTGGTACTTCAAGCACATCAAGCAACTGTTTCAAAGGTTGTGCAAATCATGTAGCAATTAATAATAGTGCCAATGGTGCAGCCTCACAAAATCTGGTAGGACTGTTACCGGTTTGCAAGCCATAGCAGGATTCGCCACATGGCGCTGTTGCAAAGCAAAGACGGGTCAGACATCATAGGGAAATTCGATCGGGCATGGCTGCTCGGACATGGCAGCTCGATGCCAAGCGGGATGCGCATCTGAGTACAAGTGAAGGGAACACTTCGGATTCTGATCAGAGTTCAATTCCACTCACCCAGAGCTCTGCGTTTGGCCGTGCTTCTCAACCGCACGAATAAATAATATATTTTGTGTTTCGTTTCCTGTTCAACTGTTCTGTAGTTAGTAATTCAGTCATTATCATTAGTCATAGTATTAGTCATAGTAAGTCTTCATTGTCATTCAAGCACAAACAGCGCTGCTCGCAAAATCGAGGATCATTCCTGGACGGTTTTAGAGCAGGCCGCGCGTGGAATTGGCAGTGCGTGGCACATCGTGTCCAAGGAGCTGCCGCGGATGACTCTTCAGGTACCTTGCGCGATCTAGTTAGCCAGCATGTCATAGACGAGGATGTGTAACTACAAGGCTCACCCCCTGATCTAAGAATCTCAGCAAGCTCCTCGTTCTGTTGAGTTGTATAGTACCAGGGCAGTGCCTTGCAATGCAATGTTTTTGCAATGCAGGGAAGTAATAATTAGAAAGTTATTAGTTCTGCAAGAGCCCGATACGTCTACTGATACTTGACTGGTTCTAACCAGCCAATTTACGAACAGTGACAGAGTTTCAATTACACACTTTAATACTATTTAAAGAAGTATCAGTCAGTATAACAAGTTGACAATGTTCTGAATCAAGTTCACTTGTACAGAAAGTCAAAGTATTAAACTGTGTCTGGCCTGAGTCTGTAAATCAGAATGTAAAAGGGTCTGATTCAATATGCTGCTTAATTAAATAAACTGTGAATGATGTGACAAGGTAAACGTGTAAGGGAGCTGGCTCTTATCTTTAACTATGAGAGTCCCGGTCCCAGGTCCTTAAGTGTCGTCAGGAACATTCCATAGAATCATGTGGCCGTTGATCATTGTCATTGGCCGTCTGACACGGCGATGTAATGGGAAGCGAGCTACCGGGGTGTAATGGTGATGGACCGAACATACCTTGATGTCTGACATGGCTTCTCAGCTTCTGGCCCATGTAAGGACTCCTGGCTTCGGCACGGCACTGCGGCCAGCAGCTTCTGCACAGGATCTGGCACAGCGGAGCTGAGCCGTGCTGTTTTGGAGCGGGACATCAATGAGTCTGGCAGGGTTGACTTCGAGGTTCATTTGCCAACGGTGGCCATGTGGGTTTCTTGGCGGGTTTAAGAGAGTGAGCAGAGGTCACACAGACACAGCGAGCCGAAGCATGTGGTGCACGATTTACAACAGTCCGAGTAAACAGGGAGTGCAGTGATATCTAGCGCTGTTGGATGTGCCAGAATGAATGAATGGTTTATCTCTCTAAGAAGCAACATTGAGAGTACAGAGTCAAAGCTGTCTATGCCAAGTGCCACCATGAAAGTTTGAAAGGTCCAAATAAGGTTGTATTGCGCGGTGATTCGGCAAGTTAGATTGCTTCCGTCAAAATCAACCGTCTGTTTGTTGCTGAAGGCAGCTCCTGTCTTACTATCAAGTAAGTGAGAGTAGCTGCCTGACATGACTGGATTATGAATAACAGTCTGCTAATTCATTATCAATACACAAGCAGTAGTAAGACTTAGTCGTAGGAGTAGTAGTAGTAGTAGTAGTAGTAGTAGTAGTAGTAGTACGAGTAGTCGTAGTAGTAGTAGAAGTAGTAGAAGTAGTAGAAGTAGTAGTAGTAGTAGTAGTAGTAGTAGTACTAGGAAGGTGTAGTGAGTAGTAGTTGATAACAACACAGTCGACAGTCCCAAACGACAACAGCTTAAGATTCTTACCGCCATTGGTTACCTGGTTAGTTCGTATCTAAATAGTTCAACTATTATTGCACCAGATATGACCCAGCACGACGTCCTTGGAGGAGAGGCGGTGTCAGTGACAGTGAGTAGTGTAATTGCTGCGTCGTCAAATTGTGCTCATGAGTTCGGCAACCAGTAACCAGCTGCTCGGAAGTTCACTGTGGTTAGCGGCCAACACGCAGATTCATGTCCGACTGGCTGTGATGTGGATTGTCTGTCAGGGGTTCAGGAATCAGGATTGAATAGACCAGCACTTCAATTAGGTCATTGAGGCATAGTTAGACAGACTATGTATGGTACTAGGAAACATCATCAGTTAATAAGTGAACTTCGACCGGCAAGAATACTAGACACTATGGCGAGTAGGTTGTAAATCGTCGTATCGACATGCTATTTACATCGAGTAGGACAGTGAGCAAATTTATGCCCCGCTCCCTAGTTGTTTGACGTAGTCCGTTTGTTATTTGTCTATTAACGACATAATTTATTAATTGGGCACCCAGACTTATTATTATTATTATATTGTTGTTATAAGTTTGTTAATAGTAGACAGGTTGGAGTCATGTCATGTCATTAACACAAATTGTGTGGTCAACACGACTAACCTAACTTTAATGAATCAAGTCAACAACTGTCTGTCTGTCTGTCTGTCTGTCTGTCTGTCTGTCTGTATGGTCCCAGACTGAGGAGATGAATCCGGCGTGCCACCAGCTACTACGTGAATGTGTGGGCTGGTCCCAGAGAGTGTCAGGTCACCGCTGTGACCCGTGCCTTTTCAGAGACGCCACAGAAGTCTTGAAAGAACAGTGGTGTCACCAGGGTATGAGCTACTCGTCGAAGCTCGAAGCCGGGAGGCATGCATATCTGAACACATGCAGCCCCTGCGTTTTTCATGGGCGTGACTGTTCTACTCAGAAGATGGTCACATTCGATGTTTCAGGCTTGCCCTGCCCAGACATGAGCCAAGCTGGGAAGAGGCAGAAACGGGCGGGGCCCACGAACTCAGTGTACATTGCCCATGGCCGTTGGACTACTGAGCTGGAAACACCCTTGCTCTTGGTGGAGTGCACCAAAGACGCTCAGCAGGAGTATAAATCTAGTGTGTGTGTGTGTGTGTAGTGTGTGTGTGTGTGTGTTCCTGAACACTCATGTTTGGCTCACTTGCTGCACTATTCACACTCACTCACTGACTTGAGCGAGCAAGACAGTAATCGTGCTGCCTTCTTTTTAATGGCTTTGACTAGTGCCCAGTGTCTGTAGTCTGTAGGTTTGGAGACCCGCATCCTCAGTACTGGTAGCCCTATCGACATCCCACCTAAGGAGCTGGACATGGGTATGCTGGAGGACACACATCCCGACCACGACTTCTATCAGTTGTTCTCAGAGCCCAGCAATGTGGGGTTCTGTGGGGTGGCCCGGTACCGCACGTGGGTCATTGGGGCCCATCGCAAGCGCACGGTATCGCTGTTCGACCCTTTCATGCTACAGGACATGCTGACGACAGCCTTTCAGCACAATGTGAAGGCAGAGGTCCAGGACTTTCTGGTGGCATCTACTGCCGAGATTCACCTGGAGGCAAGTGTGCGAGCATTGCATCGACGAGTTCCCTACCGGGTTGGAGGCGAGAAAGACTTGCAGTACCTGCTGAGTCCGAGGGAGGAAACATGTAGGCAGAAGCTGGATGCGAAGTTCTTGCAGAAGTATGGCATGCTTCCAGGCGAGCACAGCAGTTTGGTGTACTACCTCGGCGACTCTGCCGAATACTGCACATGGTCAGCATCCTCCCAGAAGATCCCGACCTACCGTGTGAATGCAAAAAATGCACTCTACTGGCTGCCGAAACAGAAGCGGTGGCTGACGGCCAAAGAGCGGCTGTGTTCGATGGGCTTTCCATGCACGAACGAGATTGCAGGAGCAATGCAGGTGCCACTGTTGGGTGCCACAGACATTCAGCGAGCAGCAGACCTTTGTGGCAACAGCATGCACTTCACGACTTGTGGCATAATGCAGCTGATAGCGCTGAGTTGCTTTGGTCCGAAGCAGTCAGGTTTGGGTGGCAGTGAGTCACTTTTCTGACTGACCGACTGCGAGGTGCGACTGATCTGATCGGACCTGGTCATCTGGTAGAAGCTTTACTCATTCAGACTCAAGTATTGAGAACTTGTAAGCTCAACTAGGACTCGAGCAAGAACAATGCCAGTAATAGCGAGTATGAACAGAATTACGGAATTGACATGATTCGAAGTTGTCCATAAATAAAGACAACTAAGTACATTAACGTATCACATAATGACATATGATGGAATTCGGCGGCAATTTAAACGAAATAACAGGAATAAAAATTATATTATATTATACATACATATATATATATACATGACATTATTTTAGGTATGTTGTTCTTTTTATTGTTATTAGGTTATTCTATTCTCTTATTAGACTCACAGCAGTAGGATCAAGAATCCTGTCTGAGTTTCCAGGTGCACTTCGTAATACATGTTATTTCAACTTATGATTCTACGAGGTGCCTTTCACCTAATTCGTTTCTTATTGTGGGAATTCATTGGTTCATAATTTATAGGTAGTGGGAATTAATAATTTATAGGTAGGTCTGGTGGTAAACTAGAAGCCTGGACTGAAGGTCAGGTCAGTCTACCTCAAGTTAGAATGCCTCGGCAGTTAGTTCGATTTCAATCAGGCTGGCAGTGAGTTTCTGAGCTGGCCGCATCTCAGGCAGAGGCCTCAGAGTCAGAGGCGCCCAGAGACCCAGCAGAATAAATCTAGTTTACCTCAACACAATGTATGTGACCGGTGATGAACAGTGACTGTGTCATGACACGATAATGTCGACAAGGTTGGTGTTAACTGATCTGACAGTTGGTTCTGCCAGGTGTTAGTTATTAGTTAAACAGATGACACATGACGTTGCCAAGACTAGACACCTATATCTTAATATTTTAGAAGCTTAGTAATACTAAGTTGGTTCTTTATTGATCTTTAAAAAAATGTAAATATTAAATTATTACATAATATGCCATAGTCATGTATACTATACTTCTTGTGGCAGACTGTGATTTCAGAGGCAATACCGGCTAGCAGCAATCATACGTCTAAGACTCTGTCAGCATTTGAACCAGTCATTGTAATTGACAAACAGTGCAGAAATTTTGATGGACCTCCTAAGTCCTGGTCTGAGTGTTCGCAACCCCTGTAGCAGTTTAACAACACAGTCAGTCAGCAGTGTGACGGTATTTATGTGAAGGTAAGTGCCATGCCATTATATGTTTAAACGAAGACTACTTAATCTAGTTTAGTTGTTTTATAAATATGTTCATACGAAGACTTAACGAATAATCAATAATATGTATTGTTATCTAAGGCCTTCATTTGACATTAAAAATTTACATAACACAATATAACGACGGTAGCGATGATTGTGCTGGGGAGTGCCAGGATGGAGTGAACTGGTCTTGTCAGTGTTTGCATTGCTTGGCTGCCAGCCAACAACCATTTTCGATGCAGTCCGCTGGGAAGGTAACCAGGTAGGTTTGGCGCGAGCGGGCTACCTATCAGTCAGTTGCCAATGGCATCAGGACCGCATCCTTTCGTGGATCGGCCGACGAGGGCATAGTCGTGGTAAGGATCCAAATCGATTTGGTGTTGTGTGATTGAGTGGTGATATGATAGCTGGTTTGGGCTACACTATGTTAGATGTCAGATGGTCGGCGGCTGCTACGACTGGAGGGCTGAAAGCGTTGGAAGTTTGCCATGCACTGTACTGTACAGATCACACCTGAAGAGACTTGCTGCGCAGGGCACAGTGTCATCGTAGGACTGAAAATTCTAGCAATGCTGTGTAACGCTGAGCTGAGCTACTGAGCTTGCAGGAGCTGCATGCAGTCACGCCTAATGTCGGTGTTGCTAGTCGGACGGCCTTCTTGATTTTGCTCAGAGCAGCCCTACTTCAGCCTGACCTGGTCACCTGGCTCTTGAGCTGGGTGAAGTCAGCAGTATGGCATCCGGCTTTTTGACCCTGCTCGGTGAAGGCGGGGAATCCGTCATTGCGGCCGATCCGGCTACCGATGCCGAGCCCTCGGTCTCGGCCCGCGCGGGCAAGACCAAAGCTGAGAAGGACAAGGCCAAGAGCGCGGATGCAAAGGCGAAGAGTCGCGGCAAGAAGGGCGATGTGGCCATGCTTTCCACCTCATTTACCTGCTGGAGGAAGGTTCCTGCCTTTTGGCAACAAATCATGTGACTTTCATTTCAGACCAGATGAGTTTGCAGTCACCTTGCTAGCCGTTCGCCACTTGAGACGTACAGACACGATCAAACAGTGTAATAAGTTTCTCCTCAGAACTGCAGTCTATGACAAATAAGATAGTACAGACAGTCTGAGTCACGACCTTATTATCGTCTTATTAAGCCAAGGATTACCATCTGAAGGACTTCATTAACCTCGCGGAGCCCCAGCGCTGCACCCTGTCCTACCTGAACACCTTTTCGTCCCAGACAATCCGTTCGGCTTTCTTCGCCTTCTTCCGGAAGAGCGCGAATGTGGCCCTGGACACGCCCCCAAACTCAAGTAAACATCAGGGTCAGGGTAAGTGTATACGGCAGGGTTTGATGACTACTGTCTGTCGCTTCGTCTCGTAGATGATTCTTAAACAGCTGCTAGATCCCAGTGCCTCTGTCCAGGTTCGTCAAGGCAGACCAAGCCGACTATCTTGTGCAGGAGTACGAGCGGCTGGGGCGTCCGCTGGAGCGGTGCCCCAACGGCATCACCGAGCTGGTGCGCAAGATCGAGATCGAGCTCAGCAAGAATCACACCTTCAAGGTGCTCAATCTCGGTGGCTCGGCTTGTGATGTCAGTCTGAGAGATGCCAGCATTGGTAACTAGCTCGACTCATCTTGCAAAGAACTACACTAATTCCAAATAGAGATGAGAAGTCAGTTGTAAAACCATTCTTATTGTCTAGGTGTTAATGACAAGGATGTCGTCTACCACACTATTAACACAGCCTTTCATTCCAGGAGATTCGCACTTAATCAGCCGTCCCGGTCAGTCAGTTTGAAGTTTGTTTCTGCAGCAGTCAGTAGGACATGCCCGCACACATTGAGATTCTTCTCGGCAGTGATAAATATTATCGTTTGTGCGGTCATCACTGGTCCGGACAAGCCAGATTCAGAAATTCAATTAAATAAATAAGAGTTAGGCAAATAAGAATAATAAATAAACAGTTACTACTAACCCTAAACTAAACCCTAAACCCTAAATAGTCGTATGAAGTTACCAGGTGATAATAAAGAAAAAAGGGGTTGGGGGCATCACAGACATGAAACCACTGCCATGTGGCTATGAATTTGATGACCTAGGTTAGTCAGTGCAGTAAGACTTCTGATTCCGATGATTCGATACTAGTCTGAGTCTGTTATCACTGATGTAGCTAAGGCTTAAAGCTTCGTCTCAATTATGGACCAACAAAATTACAATTGAATGATCCCGCCCCAAACCTTATGTATGGCATCGTGTTGCTTCAGCGATTCGGGCTTGTGGCTATAAGCCCAGGATTGAGCTGTCACCGTATCATGTGAGTTTACTTTGGTTTGGAGCCTGAGAATTGTTTAATTTATCTATTCAGACGCCACTTTCATATCTAACTATGTTGTTACACATCATCAATCTCGGAACGGGCTCTCTCTTAAAGGGGCGGTTCAGACTTCGATGTTCGGTAGATTCCGGGCAGACTCAGAGATAATCACCCACACCATGGGGTCGTGGGGCAGGATCTGGCGGTCATGTAGGTGCAGGTCCCAGGGCTAAGTTGGAAATGCTGCATCAGCTATACTACACAGTCATTGTCATTCCTGTCAACAATGTGTCTGCCGCTGCGTTCTACTGACGGCTACTGCATTACTGCTGCTGCCGCCTGCGTTGCCTGCTGCTGCCTGCTGCTGGCTCACAGTAGTCAGTCTGTGACCACAGTCGACAGGGAGCAGGACATAATAGTTTCATGATTTTTACAACCTCCATCCACTCACTGCCTCGTGACATCTCTCACTGCATACCCATCACCTCGGTTTCCAGATGTCTTTGTCTATTAATTATGAAAAAATAGCACCGTCGCTAGTTTCATAGGTCTTATTACCATGAATCTCGAATCGTCGCACGTTTTAGGGTTTAGGGTTTAAGGTTTAATTTAAATTTAGGGTTTAGGGTTTAGGGTTTAGGTTTTAGGGTTTAGGGTTTAGGGTTTTGGTTTAAAGTTTAGGGTTTAGGGTTTAGGCTAAGGGTTTAGGGTTTAGGGTTTAGGGTTTAAATTTAGGGTTTAAGGGTTTAGTATAGGGTTTAAAGTTTAGTATAGGGTTTAGGGTTTAGGGTTTAGGGTTTAGTATTATTTAGGGTTTAAGGGTATTTAGGTCATTCATTTTTAATAACTAAGATGATGGATCGGCGATGATTGAGTGCAAGGGTGTGGTTCGCCCGCTGCCAAAATGCCCTTCGGGGGGCCAGTGGATGGTCTGCTACGCTAAGCAGATCCCATACATCGCCGACCAGGCTGGCGAACACAAGAAGTGGGCGATGCAGTACTTCCAGCAGGACATCGGGACCAGCGATGCAGGAATCGACAGACCCCTCAACTTATGCCTCGACAAGGTGGACTTTGAGGAGGAGGTGGTCCGCCCGAAGAAAGAGCCGGCTGCAACTGTCACTAGCACTGCAACGCCAAGCGCTTCTGTGAAGGGTGTGGTGGTCCAAGGAGTGGGGCTTTCGGGTTTGGGTGCCGGTAGTAGCTGCTGCATTATGTTCTGGCATTGCTGATCGATCAGTCCATAAAATCTGGGATGACACTCTGACTAGATTCGTGGGCTTGTGACCGGGATCTGAGGCATCGTGGCCCCATTATTGTTGTGAATGGCGAGTCAGGTGATTTCACCAAACTGAAGTAAGCAGTGCAGCTTTGCAATGTCTTGAGCCCTCTCATCATCCTGAGCAGACTCCCCGGTCTTGGACATCCTACTATCATTATCAATGACTGGTAGAGTTCTGTGGAACAGCAGATCTCTCCCAAGACCCG